GGGGGGGGGGGGGGGGCAGGCCCCCCAGGACCCCCCTAGCTACGCCCATGATCGCCACTGAAATTAGTCGCAATGAAGGGATTCAGCTGATAAAAGTTTCAGAAACCAAATGATTTCAGAACCACTCTCTTCGTCGCCGAGTCCAAACGGATCAAGCAATACCTTTGCAAAAAATTGAATGACATTCGGAGGGGACAGACGCTCCATTCGCCAGAATCGTTTTCGCCACTTACTTTTTTGGAGGGGGGGGGGGTTAAGGAATAGCGTTGCGNNNNTTTTTTTTTTTTTTTTTTGAGAGGGAAAAGGGATATCCTTCACAGCCTCAGAGGAGGGGGAGGGGAATCCCACTAGATTAACGTTTTTGTTTTTTCGCCTTTTTTTCTATTTTAATTAATTGAAAACCGTAATTTAGAATTGACCCCATAGATCGATTCATCTGCAACTTCAAGAGAACTCCAGCGGGTTTGATTTACTTTAATCACAAGTTTCATAATATTTCACGAGTAAAATGTTTAGATTCATTGAAACAGGAGACGAGGCTTCTCATTAGTAATCATCCTTCTGAGGATGCGTAGCTGAGAGGTGACCAGAAAAGTACGTGAAAAATAAAACAGTGAAAACAAAGTAATATTGCCGAGCAATCAATTTAAAGAACAAGTTTACCTTAATTAGAACGCACGATTTCCAAAATCTAAGCTCAGATTCGAACTCCCCGTTAAAAATTGATGTAATTTGATGTATCATACGTTATCATAGCGTAATGGGAAGATGTCAAGCGTATCAGTCCAATATGGGTAAGTGGGTCAGGAGAAGATAGGAAGAAGAAGAATTTATCTTCAGGGAAATTCTACGAAACGAAACCAGACGCCGGCGCCAGGACACATTCCGATCGGCCGTCGTTGGTGGTCGGCGGCGGCGGCATAGATAAAAAGGGCTGAAGGTCGAGCACACCAGACTGAGTGGCGACACCTGTCGGGGCTCGTGCGAGGGGAGGGGAGAAAGCTATTACGGATTACGGAGCGTGATTCAAGAATTCGCCACCAGACAGCGCAACCACCAATTCTTATCGCCGCTAAATAATTAATTCATAGATATGTATACAAATACCGAAAATTATCTTGCACACCATGTGTTGTTATGTTGTGCCGTAGGCAACGGTTGTACGTTTTAAAATGTAACTCTGTGTGAGTGTCGCAGAGACTATGTTAATGCTCAACTGTTATCAGCGCAGGAAAGGAAAAAACAGTCGAGTTTCGGTGTTCTTCGCGATATTCGCGGATCGTGTGAGCTGCCCTGTATTTAGCTCCATTAATGCCCCTTTATCAGCGACGGTAAGTTTTTAAAATAGGATGTGAAGTAGTAATATTCGGAATGCCTAAACTACTCAAATCTATATCTCTATATGGAATGTTGATGGCACACACGCACTTTTTGCACCTCAGCCAATGTCCAATTATGGAAAGTCTGAACTTTCCAAAACATTTCTTACCTCGGTGCTGTGAAATTGTTACGAAACAGGATAGAATTGACATCTAGAGGCTCCTTGCCTATGCCGCACACCGATGATTTTGGGAGAGGATAGCCGTTCTTATAATCAAATTGCTGCATCAGTTGGAAATTTCGCTTCTGAAACGCAACAAATAAATGAATAGCGTAGGTATACAGCTGAATGATACCCAGATATTAGCAACTGACAGGATACTATACTTCCACTGTGACGCGGACTCGCCGGTTATTTATTTCGCGGTTCGATGCTCACATTCATGCATGAAAAGTTGTATCCAAGGCACATGAAGGAACTTTCAAGTGCCGAACAGAAAACGTAAAGAGGTTAGTATGAGTACGTAATGCAGGGGCGAGGAGGCGATCGCCCCCCTGAACTTGGCCTTTTTTAAGAGACCCCACTGGGATATCAATGTCCTATTTTAATTTTTTGGACGAATTTTTCAAAAGTAATCAATTTCCAACATTTTAAAGTTTATGCAGGTGCCTTTTAATTGACCTGACGTCTCGGCAGGGCGATTAAAAACTTGAATTGTTACAATTAAACAACAAATCCATGGGGAAAAAATATAAATAAATACAAAAATAAAATTCCGCTGATTGATACATCCTAGATAGTACCTAATTTGGAACATTTTGACCAGGATGGAATGATTCTCATATTTTTTTTTATTTTCTCACGGGAGACACTACGAAGTAGTATCAAGATGCACACTTGTTTCTAATACAAATATTTTAACTCCGGTGTGGGCAGTGAAGTATCACATGGAACGGAAGGCGTTTTCAACTGGTGGAAACGGTTTGTCCTAGCTTACAGCGACGCGCACCACGTAAGCAGATAAAATAAACTTGCATCCCTCTCCATGATAGAAAACAATTGCAGGAAGATTTGCAAATTATAAAACAGTTTTCATTAAGGTTTTTCCCGAAGAAATCCGAGATGAGACTTCATGAATGTTTCGATAAGCGATCGAGAGATTCAACGAGTTAGTATCAAGATTGACAATGATTTTTGATACAAATATTTTGACTCTTTTGTTTTTTCCTGTCATTTTTCGAGAAGAGAAAAAATAAACGAAAATGCGAAGTAACAAAGGTGTTATTTCCAAAACTTTCTGGAGGAGGGCCCCAGTCCCCCTTCCAGGAGGAGTCCCAAATCCACTTTTGGAGGGGCAATCCCTCCGGAAAATTTGGAGCCAGTCCATCCTTGACCTAATGTTTCACCTTCTGACGAGTAAATTACTAACGATTCAATATAAAGTTTTTTGTGTGCATAAAAAGTTCAGATCAGTGAATCGTGAGTGATGAAAATCATTTTTTTTAGTTAAAATTCTGGTTTAAATGAGCCATTAGACATTATCAATAAGTTGGTTGATTCTGCAATTTCCTAGCTCTCTCCGTGTGTGTACATTTGGAAATTAATTCAATGATAAGGCATACTTTACCCTTACATATCATTTTTATTTGTCGTGACCAAAGTTAATTCAACTGACACGACCAATAATCTGAAAAAATTATGCGATTTACATACTACCTTCGTTTTATGGGCGCGAAACGCGACATCTGTCATGAATAACTGTCCGAGAAGGAGCGATTACTTACCTCTACATTTTTAAATGTAAATCCAGGCAGTAAGGGTAATTTCTCCATCGTAACCATTAATTTTAACACAGCAGATAAACTTATTATTTTTCGAGTGACCGAAACTATTGAAACAATTTTTGGGTGTTTTATCCTAACCCAGAGACGTACTCATTACAAGTTCATTGCTCTAAATAGTTGCTATGACGATGAATAAAACGAGGTGTTCAACAGTTTATTGTGTTGCAAAATAGAGTGCACGCAGCGCGCATGATTTTACTGCGACAGTGATTCGCCGGTTATTTTCGAGGTTCGATGCTCACAGTTGTGCATGAAAAATTGCATCTAAGACAAATGAAGGAACTTTCAAGCGCTTAAGACGCTGAAAGAAAGACAAGACTTGGAGGGGAATCGATAGAGGGGAGGGGAGCGATGAGCATCGATGTTGAATGGTGGGGGGTGTGGATGGAGGAGGAAAATTTGGAGTGCAGCAGGAAATGTTGATTGATTGAACACGAAATTTTGTTTTTATTTACGATTGGTGGAATGTGTTCAATGTCATGATGAAGATTTGACAATTCCGTGTCTTGTGATATGACACGTTAACCATTCGTTGTGTTATTTTCTTATCGCAGTGTCTTTGCAGTCAGTTTTTTAAATTAGCAATTTCCCAGATCTAGAGTAACTACTTCAAATCAACCAGGAATTAACTTATCGTCATCCTACACATGTGTGAATTCGCGATCCTTAAAATAATTTGTGTGGCGTGAACCTTCTCATTGCTGGAAACCCCATCTCTGGTTGTTGGACTGTGAGTGATGTTCTATTTCATTTTACGGTATATTCGATCAAGTTTTCCTCAAATCTCATGACAATTTGTCCTCCCTTCCCTGTCATCAACCTGTGGACTAGGTATGATGGTGCTTCCTGGTATCATCTTTTGTAACGTTTGTAACTGCGAATGAAGACTCACAGCTTTTAGATTTAGATTTTCTGCGTTCGAAAAGTTAAACTACGCATATGGCAGTTAAAGTCTCTGGTCTTTCAACACCTCTCTATGATATTTATCTCCAATTTTCCCATGAAAAACACTGTTTTCTCCTTCAAATTCAAGATTGAGGTTAGAAATCAGAGCTCATAGTGAAGTTTTATATCCCAAGAAAATGCTATCTTTCAAGCTATCCTACATCCTCAATCTGTATAAATATCATCATTATCTCTTTCCGAATACTGTACATCAGAGCTTGGTTTTTACGCTGAAGAATTTATTCCTGAAGTAGGTGCTCGATTTCCCCTCAGCTTATTCCAATCGTCTGGATCAGCTTTCTCTCTCCCACTTTCATTTTTCTTGATATAATTAAGGAATGGTCATTATTCAGCCTTTAAGAAGTATCAAATGTGTAAGCTTCAATCAAATAAGTCCTAATATGCAGTAATCGTGGAGTGTGCGCCACTGTCTGAAGTTAATTTGCACCTTGACCAGAATGGCGAGATATTAGATTTTTGTCAGTGCCACTGAAGGAAATTTACCAATTCTTTGGTGCTCACAGTTGTGACTGAAAAACGTATAATTATGATAACTAATTAAGGACTGCATCAGTACAAATAACAAATTAATTTTATTTATGTCTTATTCTAGGTAGGCTATGATCAGCTTATCACGGTGGAATACTGACACCCACACTTTAACAATAGCCGTTTTTCGATCAAAACAAGATGGCTCATCAAAAATCAACATGTGAGGTAAGTGAAGGAAAACTTTAGCTGTTTTAGAATTGTAGAAATTTTTGAAGTTCCGAGAGTTGTCTCTTTTTCTGGAAAAAAATCGAAATTCAAGTTGATTTTCCAAAAGACAAAGGGCTCATTACGCTTTCTAGTCAGGGTTGGGAAAAACTTGTTTTTTTTTCTAAATACTACCCATGGGTTTAACAGGGTTTTCCAAGGTTTATTGGGTGTTTTGCGCTTATGACGCACACTAGAAAGAATCACGGCAATAAAATGGTTTTCCGTAAAGAACACATTGATACTAATGTATAGGTCGGGGAGGTTTAAGGACTGTTCATAAATTACGCCATGTCTTAAGAGGAGTAAATTGGTTAATTTTTCTTAGAAGAGGGTTACGTAGCACTGCCTCATGTCAAGAAAGAAAATTGCTAAAATGTCCTATAGATGATCCGGAATAATAAGCGGATTATAATTTAAGCAGTAAACCCGCAGTTCTCAGATTATTTTATCGTTCCTTTTCTTATAGACCTGTCAGCGCTCCTGTACAAACTGTGGGGACCAAAGCAGTCTCCATCTGCATGTTGAAATAGAAAACTTGAAGCAAAGACTATTGGAGAAGGAAAATCACATTGTAAATATGGAGACTAATTTCTTGAAAGAAGCTGAAAAATTTCCCAACGGGGAGCATGCAGCTTTAACAGAGGAAGTATTAATGTGGCAGGAGAAGTACTCAAGGTTTGTACAACTTATCACAAGAGATGCAACAATAACTTATCTCCCTATATCACCTAGGATTGTAAGATCGGCTCTTCTTGTTAAATTTTTATTTTCAGGTAGTTTGGAAGTGTATTTTCGTTGATGATCAGTCAAATCAAAATGGGTGGATTGTGCGGTTTCGTATTTTGTTTTGACGCGATCATACTTTTTCGGAACAACATCAGGACTCACCAGATGGATAGAAGGTGGAATTCTTGCAAACGTTGGAGCCAAAATATAATCATACAAAAAGAAGGGTTTAGAAATGACCTTATGAAGATGATGGCATCCGCCCAGCATCAATTTCGAAAGTCTAACCTCAAATGTTTACCAACCCGATTATGATCTATTCGCTATTATCGCGGCATCTTGGCTCGACCGATCATCAGCAAAAATATGCTTTGGAAGAAGAGGCTAGATGCTTGTGCTGACTAAAAATCTACCAAGCCTTTAGTGTGCGTGAGGGTAAAGAGTATGTGCTTATCAAAATTTAAGAATATTTTAGTACTCCTCAAGTATGAAATGAGATTAAACATTCTTTCGTGAGCCCAAGGTATTTCTAGTACGTTTAGACACTTTTCAAATTTTTCTCAGGGTCAAGGCAGTTTTTCAAGTTTCAAAATTAGCTTCGGAATCAATTTATAGTGTACTGGTGTGCAATTTTTTCGCTTTCTTTATATATTTTAATGTGATCTGACAATTTTTCAACTTTGTAAGAATTTGAAACTCCGCACAATCAGATTTAATTATTGTCAAATCTTCTAGGAACCATCAAATTTTTACTCCAAAGCATGAGTTGCAATGGTAGTCAAGCAAAATCATAGTTATTGCAGAGCAAGACCCTGGTCTCAAGTTTTTCCTTTGTAGTTTTGGCTACAGTTTCAAATAGAAAAGAAGAAAGAAAGAGAAAAAAACAATTTGCTCAGCTAATTACCTCTGACTTTCCTACTATGACATACAATCTTGAATTTTCTGAATTTCTGTTTCATTTTCTTAGTAATTAAAATATTTTCCAACTCCTTTTTGTATTATTGAGAGTAAGAATGAGGATAACTAATTTTCATTGGATTTTTAAGATGCACCTTTCTCTCCTGTGGTACCTAAACAGAAAACCTTGTTCTTCATAACATAATGACCCGTAAACATATTGTCTGTTTAATCCTCTGTAAATGTGTATAGTTATTTAAAATGTCTGTTTATAACGTCTGTTTTTTTATCTCCAAATGTTTTCTGTCAATAATTTAGGTTATATGAAGCGCACAAAAGAGTGCAAAAAGTAAACCAAAGTCTTGAGGATAAGTTGCTGAAAATTGTAGATAAATGCGAAACTGAGAAAAATGCCTTATCAACAGAAATAGCCAATTTGACCAGGAAGCTGGTCGATGAACAGTTCTCTGTCAGTAAATTACAAGAAGATAATGTAAGTCCTCTCACATAACCTTTTTTTTGGCAGCATGAGTTACTCAGTATTTACTATTTCACATTGCATTAACCTAAATACAGTGCAATCAGTTCGCTTTTTTATTAAATTAATTAACAGATTACTGTGGTGGGTAGGCTTTTCAGAGCGCCCTAGCGCGCTGTAAAAGCGACTTATGTATACAATTAATTAATCAGAAGAATTTCTACGCCAGGCACAAGTTATTTAGCAGCAAAAATTTTGCAGACAAAAATATCACAAATGATATAAAATCCAAATTTTAAAATTTTTTGCACAGATAAGTTACGGTAGGCTGAATTATGGGTGATTTCACGATAACAGGAATAGTTAAAATGTGAAATACCTTAGAAATAAAAGTGCACCAATTTTAACAGGATTTCATTACCTCATTTTAAAGGTATTAAACTTCCTTTTCCTAGCTTTGGCACGCTCTATAATGATTCAGTGCAAAGTTAAAGTGATTGATAAATAAGCCATTGAATCAGGTATCAGCGCTTCCCGCGGGACTGCTGGAGGTCCACGCAAACA